GAAAGACCTCCGGCCAGAGTTTAGATGAGTAAGGTTTGGTGTGCCCCTTTTTGCACATCACCCCCCTTAAGAGGAATGGGGGAAAGTTAGGGTGATACAAAAGGAGAGAGGTGTGCTATCAATCACTGGCTAGAGCAATTAAGTTACATGTTCCTGCAGATAAAACAGGACAGATCCAGAGTACAATAGAGGCTCTCTCTTTGTTTTTCCTGAGGGAGTCACACTAAGGCAGAGCTGGGCTATCTGCACAGAAAAATCAGTTGTATCTGAATTGACAACGCTGTAGGGGATTACAATTAGAATTTGGACATCAGATTCTAGCTTGACTGTGGCTATACAGGAAACTATCAATCACATCCTCAGACTCAAAATCTGTCTTATTGCCTCACCTCTCCAGTCAGTGACAAAGACATATAGAGAAAAATGTTTTGATGTATCTTCATCACAGGAAGGTGTCATAGAATTTTATTATTTTTATTTAATTGTTTTAATATAGTTTAAATTGAATCCTGATTCTCTAGAAAAGCAAGTATTGTTCTTAACCACTGAGCCATCTTTCTAGCCACCAGGACCTTGTTCTTAGCAGTATTTTTTAATATTTCTTTTATTTTTAAAACATTTTAATTGAAATAGAATTACATCATTTTCCCCTTCCTTTTCTTCCTCCAGCCCCTCCCAGTTACCCTCACTCCAACCCCTTCTATTCCCTCATACTCTCAAGTTCATAGCCCTTTTCTGTGGTTATTATTGTTACATACATACATACATACATACGTATAGAGATACAACCTGCTGGGTCTATTTCTATTGGTGGAGTATAGACCATTTCAGAGCTGACCATTCTGCTTTGGACAGCAGATAAGGGACTCATCCCTGGGAGAAGCTAACTCTCCCTCTTCCAGCAGTCCTTAGTTGCCTATACTTCTTTGTCTAAGGGTGAAATCCTGCAAAATTTTTCCCCATCCACATTAACATGTCCACTGACACTGTCTTGCCCGGTCTTCTTTCTGCAGCTATTTCTAGGGAGAATGGTTGACAACAGACTTCTGTATTCTGGCTCTTACCATTTTCTGCCTCTTCTTCCTTGGTGTTCTCTGAGCTGCAGATGCAGGAGCGGTGATGGAGAGTATCCACTGGTGCTGGGCTCCCCATGACCCATCATCACTCTCTGCCTGTGTCCAGTTGTGGTTTTCCATGATGGTCTCCATGTACTGTAAAGGGGGGGCTTCTTTGGTGAGGGTGGTAGCTACACTGCGGGTCTGAGGATAAGATTAGACTGCGGTAAGGAATTATGCTGATCTAGCAAAGTTGCTATTATAGATTCTTTTCTAAGGTTCATGACCCCCAGCCCCGGGAAGCTGACTGGATTTTCAGTATTAGGCATAATTTCCCTCCTGTTGAGTGGGAATGAGACAGCCATTGGTTGTCATTCTAACATGTGAGTGCCACTTATCCCACCTTTCAGGATAGCTTGCCATATTGGTCATTGTTGGATTCATGGGCGATGCATCTAGGCAGGACTACTGATTGATCCCTTCCTTTCGAAGTTTGCACAGTATTTCTCTGGAATCCCGGAAGCTAGCCCACAGGAAAGAGACTTCAATATTAGATCTAATTTGAATCATATGAATCTTGCGCCCTGAGTGTGTTGTGTCTTCAGCAACAGGAGCTTGCTTTCAACTTCTGAGTGGCAGCCAAGAGCTACATTAACAGTCCATGTTATCTGAGAGTCCCTTAGACATCCCTGGGCCACCCTACAGAAGGTTTCCTGTGCCTGGTGTTGGGGTTTTTGTTAGTCTATGGGTTTTGTCATGGAACTTTGGAGTGAATATTTTACTGCTCTGTTTGATTTGCTTTTCCTTGCTTGCTCTTTCCCGATGCCCTGTCATCTAAGGGTCCCTTCCCTGTACATTATTCTATCCAGGTTCCTGCTCTTCACTTCTTTGTGAGGGGGAATCATCGGGGAAATGCTGATTTCTCTCATCTCTTGGCTCTCCAATAACAGCGGTCACACATGCCCTAACCTCATCAGTGTGATTACCAATAGCGGCCACTGTAGGGTTAAAGCTTGCCAGACCCCAGCAGCTCTTGGGAGGCTGAGGCAGAAGGACTGCGATTGCAAGTCTGTGGCAAGGCCGGGATGCACATTGATAATCCATCTTTTTAAAAAGTGGGCTGAGGGGATAGCCCAGGGGCTAGGCACTTGCCCTCACTGTGTGAAGCCCTGTGTTTGATTCCTAGCACCAGGAAGAAAAAAAAAAGCACTTGCGGCAATAGCCATATTGATGAGCATTTGTAATATGTTGTATTCTCTGGCAAACTCTTTGCAAGTATCACCACAATCATTATTACATCAAAACAGGGGTATTTTATGCTCAAATTAAAGGTAAAGAAAACTGATAGAGAAACTAATGCTGTGAAGTGAATGGTATGACTCGGTAGAAGAACATGTGCTTAGCATGTTCCAGCATTGGATTGCAGGTCCAGGATGGAGCGGGGAGGAGCTTCAACCAGCAAATGCAGCTAGCAAGTGTCTCCCTCAGTGTATCCAGCCCCCACTCACAAAATGTGCATCCCTGTTGCTTCTGTTTGCCCGTCATTCTTCAACATTTGCACCTGCCCTTTATTTCTGAGGCTTTCTCCGGGAAACTGTTTTCAGGTAATGAGCTCTACCACCATAAGTGACTGACCCCCACCAGGTTACAGAAGCAACTCCCTCGGAGCTGATGGCCCAGAGTGACCCCTCCCACAGTCCCTCTTCTATGATGAACCAAGAGCAGCTCTAGGTTGTCACCGTCCTTTTCCACCAAGCTCGAGTTCTATTCTGTTTCTCTCCAGAGCTGTGTCTCAGCTTTTAGCTCAGCTTTAACCATCCACTGCATATTGCTGAAGGAGAGGAGATGGCAATCGCCACCAGGTGAGTGTCAGGGTGTTTGGAATAAATATTCTAAGGGGTTTCTTGGATATGACTCTATCCCAGATATTATTTGCTCAATTCCTTGGAAGAATAGGAAAAATAATAGTAGTTTTTGA